GCACACAGAGGTGACACAGGGACCCCGGGCACACAGAGGTGACACAGGGACCCCGGGCACAGCACACGGAGGTGACACAGGAACCCCGGGCACAGCACACGGAGGTGACACAGGGACCCTGGACACACAGAGGTGACACAGGGACCCTGGGCACACAGAGGTGACACAGGGACCCCGAGCACAGCACAGAGGTGACACAGGGACCCCGGGCACACAGAGGTGACACAGGGACCCCGGGCACACGGAGGTGACACAGCGACCCCGGGCACACAGAGGTGACACAGGGACCCCGGTCCCTCCTCACCGATGGCCTCGGGCGGGCGCCTCTTCAGCGAGGGGGGCGCGCTCTCCTTGCGGGTCAGGGGGTTCTTGCGCCGGTCCAGGCACTTCCTGGGCTTGCACCGCACCTTCAGGTTGGGCTCGGACGCTGCCGGGGACAGGGGTGAGTCCTGGGGCCACCTGAACGGGCCCCGTGGGGCCAGGCCCAGCTCCAGCCACGCACCAGGGACATGGGGACAGTCCTGATCTCTTGAGGGACACCAGGACGGTCCCAACATCTTGGGGGACACGGGGACACTCCCAATGTTTTGAGGGACACGGGGACATTCCTGACATCTTGGGGGACACGGGGACATTCCTGACATCTTGGGGGACATTCCCGATCTCTTGAGGGACACCAGGACATTCCCAATGTTTCAAGGGACACCAGGACATTCCCAGTGTTTGGAGGGACACCAGGACATTCCCAATGTTTCCAGGGACACCAGGACATTCCCAGTCTGGAGGGACACCAGGACATTCCCAGTGTTTCCAGGGACACCAGGACATTCCCGAGCCCTCACCTGTTTTCCGCAGCGGGAAATGCTCGGGGGGGTCGAGCGAAGCGCTGGCCACGGGGGACAGGAACGTGCTGAGCATGGCAGGGGAGGGACCCTCGGGCTCCAGGGGCTCCAGAGACCTGCGGGGAGAAGCCAGAGCCCCTTCCCAGCTGCCCGGCAGGGGCAGGGGCAGGGGCAG